AAGTATCTTGTTCTTGATCAGGAATAGCTGGAACTAAGGAGTACTGACAAGAATGCTGATAACAGCTGCACTGATAGCGATTTTGATATACTTCCTATCTAACCAATGGAGACGGACAACGCAATTACCCCCAGGTGAATCACTTTATTCCATTACATAAATCACTTTTCATTATTTCATTTTTCATTTTTTTTTCATTTCATTCATTCTTTTTCATTATCATCACTTAAAGGGTTCGGCGTAACCCATTGGCGACATTGCGGTTCGATGTGGGGACGCAGCATAGAGATAATTTCTTTTTGTTCAGAATTCAGTATTTATGGTAATCATGGTTCCTTGCATATCTTTCCTAATTGATGTTTTACAGGAAGGGGATCTTGAAAGTGATTTTTCAAAGGAAAGCTTGCTATTTTCGAATGTATAAGGCTGGCTTTTTGTTTTCCATTAGCTAGGGTAGTGACACTGGCTCGAGAAGTTCAGAGCTCACTGCATGGCTCCAAATGATCCTTCAAAAATTCAGAATTACCTTTGTCATCACCGCTAGCTTTCATATTGCAGCTCAAGAAGATGCTGAGAAGAAACAAATGTGAAATTCGGTAGCTTTCATGCGTTAGGAATCTTTACAGGGCCGTATCCTGTACTGCTCATTGGTAACTTACCGCAAATTCTCTACTATGGATATAAATATGGAGGAATAGTTCCAGCATTGAAATATTTCAAGAAGGTGAGCTTTTGAGAAAGAGGGAAGAGGTTGAGCATTTATCAGTGTGGAGATTGCGTTGGGAGGTGCCTTGGGTAAAAAATAGGCAAAAGCTAGAAATTATAGTAATATAGCAAAAAGATAAATAGTGGCTTAGACCATAAATGCTTGAACTGGGGTGGTAGTTGAAGAACTAACGTTTGCATAATTCTTAAGTCGGCAGTATTCTTTCAGAAATACGGTCCAGTATTCACAATTTGGATAGGACCAATGCCGTCCGTCCATATCGCTGACTACAAGCTCAGTCATGAGGCTATGGTTCACTATGGCTCAAATTATCAGGATCGATGGTCTCCAGCTATAATGCGCGAAGCTCGAGGTACAATATTATTATTTACAATTTGAACAATGTAGGAAGTAGGGTCCTTCAGAGGATTCGGCTATAATTTTCACTCATACAATTCCATAAAGCGTATGGAACCGCAAAGTCCTACATAACTACGTAGCGCGCCCATGGGGTTCGGCGCTATGGAATGAGTTTCTTAGGATTTGCGATTCAACCTCCTCCCACTACGGCAATCACTACGCCTATCGTGAGACTTCTACCTCCCTGACCTGGCTATCCTCTATCCTTTGTGCCTGTAACTCCAAGCTTGACCTACATAAGACTGAGCTTTTCTTAATTAGATATGATTCGCCTTTGGAAACTCTTTGCCCACGGCAGATGGGACACTTCAATTCAAGTGCCTACTCGTCACTTTAAAAGCCATCTCATGACTGCGCTGTATCAATCAAGCTTCTTCTTGAATAGCATTCAAAGCTGCTGCCTGCTCACCAAGTAACGAGCTGTTCCACTGATCGAAATTGCTCGACATTGGAGCTGGGTTTCTGCAACTGAATGTAAATGGCTGCAGCTATTACTTCAAAACTGAAAGGTTATTGGGCGTCCCACTCCCGCCTTCCATCTTGTCCGTATCCGAAAAGGAGGCCAATCGTGAGGCCGAGAAGACAGCAGACGCAGAGACCATATCGCAGCTGCGTGCTTAGTTATTCTGGTTCACTGTTAAAAGCGAGAGATTACGATAAAGTGCGTATGCAGCGTGGAAGTACATGCACCATTGGAAGCAGTAGTCAGGGGCCCAAGGAAACGAAATGTTGCGTTTTTGTGGTCAAAGGTGCGCTAGTTGCAGCGTACAAGGCTTGCCATTCCTTTCTGAGCCCCGCCACGGTCTGTGCTCCGCCCCCAGCAGCAGCGCCCTTCGATTGCCAATGTGACGAGATATTCCACTTCCAGAGTGTATCCTATAACTTTTCATGGGATGCGTGATCAATCAAAGCATGATGCTTGCTGAAATGATAGAGGCTATCAGCATAACATGTGCAAACGACCTCCTAATTGGTTGCTAGCTCGTCCATTATCGGAGGTCAACGGGCAAAGAAAGGGGTCCCATTTTGCGCCTTCTTGACGGATTTCTTTGCTTTTTTCGCCACTGGGGCATTATTCAGCATCTCCACTTCCACTATGAACCCAGTCCAAACTTATCGTAATCCCTCGCTTAAGATAGCATGTACCATATTACGTCCAACATTTCGCAATAGGCGCTGCAAATGGTCCATCGACAAATATGCGTCTCCGTCGCCCGTCTCGCTGCGCGACGGGCCTCCTGTCGAACACCCCTCTTATCTGAATTCTTTCCGAGTTGCCCAGTGCCGCCTTGTTACTTCGACAAGAAGACCCCTTTTCTAGCGTCAGCTTTTCTTTGGCAATTTTGTTGAATAGTACTAGGAAACAGAATAGAACCTCATTTTTAGATTTTATTTCACGAGCCTACTTTATTGTGAAATTTTTCTTTGCTAAGCACTTCAAGTGTCTTCCATAAAAACAACATTTTAAAGTGAATGAATAGGAACGCCATTAAGGAGACCGCGGTGTAATTGTGTCAAACGGTCGTATATGGCAAGAGCAGAGAAGGTTCTCTCTTCAAGTGCTAAGAAACTTTGGAATGGGGAGAAATCTCATGGAAGAGCGAATTATGGATGAATTCAACCTGAGGTTGGTAATACATAGCGGTGCCTTAATGTTTTTGCTTTGTTCTGCTTATAGCTCATTTTCGTCGCTGTTCACGATGCCACTGTTTTCACAGAGATGCTGAGGGATGGGCAAAGGGAGTTAACCTGAAACAGAAGGAGGGTGCCTGTTTTACCGCCTATTTTATGCGCAGTATTGAAAAACACGCTTTACATACCATGACACGTCCATGTGATGGGCAATACCATAAGGGGAGTATCATTCTGATTTCATGGTTGGCCTACGCTAGCGGCGTTCGGCCAAAAGTCGGAGCGGCATTTTATCCTGCCATACAGTTCTAGTTTCTTCATACGGACGGAGATAGTGATCGCAGCTCTGGTTAATCTGGTATGGAACAGGCACAAAACCGTCCATGTGCTAGCGACCTCTCCCTACTTCTTCTATA